AGCCTCCTTCTCCGTCCTCCCGCCGGGAGCCGGGGACGGCTTCAGGGCATCGCCGTAACCCAGGTGCTGCCCCGTTCACGTGAGGAACGTGCACTCAAAGGCCATTTTTTCCCTTCCTTTCCTGTCCTCTACAGTGAAGCGGTTATTTGCGGCGACGGTGTTACTTGCCGGGTTACAGCACCTACCAGCTCACGTTCTCCGGTAACCGATGACCAGCTTTTACCTCCTCCGCTTCGAAAAGCCCCGGGAGACGGAGCAGCGCTACAGAGATCGCGCGCTCGCTTGCGCAGGCTGCTTGCTGTTGGACTGCTTTATTTTGGTTGCGAAAGCGGAGATCTGCTGGCCTCAAATACAGCCGACGCATTTCGAAGGTAGCGACGTTTCCCCGTCAGCACCGACCCGAGAATACTACTCCTAAGTGAACGGGCACTCTTATTGCTAAAAATATCATGCTTTTCCCCGAGAAAGCTAGCGTCCTGGCTGCGGAGTTTCTTTTTTCCCCGCGATTTTGCAGATCCGTGTAGCGGCTGTAACGCCTCGCGGTGCCGCGGCCGCAGCCCAGCCCTGTGCCCCTTGCTCTCCGTTCCCAAGCCTTACCCCGGCTCCCGCCCTGCCCCGCGCTCGGGAACCCGCGGTGCCTACCCACAGGAAATGAGTGAATTCCCTGACGGAGCGGCCAAGAGCACGCATTTACCCGAGAGTCTCTCTCAAGGTCACAGAACTTTCTTTTCAGCTCTTATTTCTTTTTCCTGTTTAATTCCAGTTTTGCGAAGCTGCGAGCTGCCGATTTTCCAAGCAGCGGCATAGCGGGGGACGGCGAAACGCGCGGCCGCCTCCTCCCTTGGGTCTGAGTTCAAGCCACGCTTTTCACGAGGCGGGGGAAAAAAAAAGGTTATTAACTGGATTTGTAAAAATGAGCGAGTTTGATTTTGGGAAAACCCAGATTTTTGCTTCAAGCTCTGATAAAGAGCTATTTAAATTAGAATAACCACCTCTGAAAAGTCAGCCTGGGCTGCCCCGTGTAACACCTCTCGCTGGTTTTTCCACCCCAGTTGTACTATCAGTTTCACGGTTTCCTACACTTCCTATGCAGTGAATTCATCTTGTTTGGCTGCGTTTTTTTGTCATAGCAAAAGAAAAAAAAAAAAAGGGAAGAGAGGAAAAAACCCACTTTCAAAACCAGGAGAACGTTTGCCATGTTACAGTCGCTTGGGCAGCGGCTCCGGGCGAAGGGAGGGCCCAACTCCCCCCCGGAACGGCTCGGGACGAAGGCAGGGCCGAACCCCCCCCGGAACCCGCCGAAATGAAATTGGTGAGCCTTGCTTTGGTATTTGTGTGAAAACAGGAGGACGTATATTATCGGTACGTTGCACTGCCTGCGAGTTTTTTGCTTTGTAGCCGTCGTGAAAACTACAAAAGCAACGTGCTGCACCCGTTTTATGAATGATGCCGCAGGAAGCGCGCTTCGATACGGCAAGCGTCGCCGGCTCGCTGTTGCAAGTTAAAGGTCTTAAAGTTAAAGGTCTGAAAGCCGCAACGGCTGGAGTCACATAATCATGTGAAAATTTCTGCTTTCGCTTACAGGGTCGTGCTTGTTGGTGTGGGGAGAAGAGGTAGCATTAACTGGAAGGTTATCTAGAGATTGCAAACTGGAAGTCAAGGATAATTTCTGTTTAAAAAAAAAAAAAATCTTATTGGCTTTGAAATAAAACCACCACACTCCAGAAATTCCTCTTGGACCCGGCTTTAAGTGCTGGGTCAGTAACACTGGAGAAACTCAGCACCCGGCACCAGTAACAGGGCTTGGTTTCACCGGGAATGTTGGTATAGCAAACGTGGCGCAAGCCTTTTCCTCTGAGCTGGACGGTAATGTCCAGTAACGTGCCATTTTTACCCTGCAGCTGGGTTTTAACCCGAATTCTTTTTGAAGCTTCCCTGGCAGGGTCTCAGCCCCCAGCTCGCAGGACGCGTTGCTCAGCGGACCCAACCAGCCGACTTTTTCCGACCCCGAGTTTCTCCAGTTTCGGATCTGCAGCTGCGTTATTAGCAAACCCTTTTGCGTGTGGTTTGCCCACCGCCTACTTCACACGTGTCGAGAGAACCAATTTCTTCCTGAGCTGCTGTATGACAAGAGCCTCGGCCGACCGTCCGCGGTGCCACCCCTTTCAGTTGCCCAAACTACCTCCAGCTCTTTTTTTTTTTTTTTTTTTGGGTAGCTGTGTTTTTTTTTTAGAGTTTGGTCATCTTAAAGTGCTCTAACAATAAATTGCCCCTTCTGCCTCCCCCATTTTTCATTGCTCTGTTCTTCACATAAGCAAAACAGCGCAGAAACACCTCTGGAGGAAGCTCATACCCAAAAGCAGGCACACGAGGTGCGCGCATACGGAGAGCGTGGGCCACCTCCTGTCCTGACCGCGCGTGGCGACGCGGAGAATGAGGAGAGGGGGATATTAATCAGGAAACACATTGGGAAGTCTGTAAGGTTGTTATCTGTCCCTTTAGATACATCTTCAGGGACACAGGTCACCATGTGGGAAGGGGGAGCGAACGTGCCTCTTGGAAGGTGGCAACCGCGCCGTGACACCTCCGCATCGCCGGTGCGACGTGCTGGGAACGAGTTCTGCTTCCAGCACAACAGAGGGTTTGGGGAACTGTAAAAGGGAGATTGTAGGTAGAAAAGAATTGCTGAATCTCCCGGCGGGAGGCAAGCCCTGGGTAGCAGAGCTGGCCGGGTCCCCGCCACTGGGCACCGGTAGGAGCCCTGTGCTCTCCTTGGGTTCAGTCCTTCCCTGCAAACGCATAAACCAGCTCCCCCTCTAACCTGGCCGGTTCTTACTGCATCGCTCGGGTTTCACTTAAACAGCTTACCTTCCAGAAAAGAGAGATGTTCTGCCGTTGAGAGTCCACGTCCTGCTGTCGGTACCAGATGTCCAGGAGCCCGGTCGGCGCTGGCGCGGAAGGAAAAGGTGAGCAGCATTACTGGCTGTATTTTGAAGCAGACGAGCAAGACATTGGGTAGGCCAAGGAGGTAAAAATCCTGAGACAATCAAAACTTAAGATTTAAAATGTCACTGAAACGATGCAATATGTAATAGCCTGTATTCGCTGTTGCAGCTGGAGTTGAGCTGCGTTGATGACCGCCCACACGATGGTACTCATGAAAAGGGCAAGCCATAAACCCCGAAGAGGCTTTTGCTCTGCTGGTGGCTTTATCCAGCACTCGGGGACCAGGATGGCTCCCGAGGAAGCCTGCGCATCAAAGTGACAGTATTAGCTCTGGTCTTCGCGTAGAAGTTGAGGCTAGTTAAGGTCCTTGGGGCTGGTTACATCAATCCTGAAACGACAGCCAGCCTCAGGTGGCAGGTCTGTAGGATCTGCAGGGTCTCGCCGTCTGTCTCTGGGCAATAAATGCCTTTAACAGCTAGCTGGGTCGGACCTTGTCGGAGGTAGCTGAAAACCCCCAGTCTTTCCATGATTCCCCTTATAGTCACAGAGTGACTGGAAGCCCTCGATGTTTTGAATAAACCTTCCAAAATAACACTAAAACACGCTTCCGGCCGCAGAAACTGGTGAACCGTGTGCTCCAACGGTTCAGAACCAGATAAAGACACATAAAGAAAGCCAATGTGACCAAAGATACCAAAATTTGGTTCCTGGAGGTCCCTCACCAAAATAAACCCATCAGATTAAAATAATGATTGCTGCTAATAGCCTAAGCAGCAGGCAGCTGTTGGACAACCCCAGCTAGAATGGGGCTGGCTGCTATTTGCTAAATTGGAAGACAGAAAAAAATCCTCAACCCCAGGAATGTTGAGAGCTATTTGTCCTGTATTAACAGCAAATAATGACTGGAATAGAAACAAGAAGGACCAACGGGAGAAATAAAACCAGAGCACACTTGCTCTGAGCAAGAGCGGAAGGAGCAAGCTCAAAGCAGGAAAAAATGTAGTATGGGATTGCATCTCTTGGACTCCAGCCCAGATTTTAAAGTTCATTTCACATGTGAACCATACAAATTAGCTGTGGGGCGAGGGGGGAGAGGTTACTTATGGACAGTGCTCGCATAAAGCAAGTTTTGTGGCAGGTTAAAGAAACAGGAAAAAAGGTAGCTCATTGAGAAGGTGTACTCCTGAATTTGCAAAAGGCCAAAGTCAGGTGTAGAACTTCAGCTCCTTCAAAGAAGGGCGACCGCGACGCACCCAGAGCTTCTCGCCTGCAGACCGGCCCCCGCTGTCGCCTAGCCTGAGCACCGAAAATGCTCCTTCGTTAGCTGGCAAGATTCTCGTTCCATGGCATCGGCTGGGCGGGGGGTGATGACCACAAATGCTGTAGCAAGCCAGGCTGCATCGGGAAGGTCGAGGAAACTGTTGAGGGGAAGGTGGAGGAGGGAGGGAAAAGTTCACACCTTCTGCATCAATCAATGCTTCGTACAGAAACTGATGCTGTCAGGAGTGGTAAACAGCACGAGTAACAACAGCACTAGCCTGAAGAGCTTGTAGTAATTCAGAAAAAAGAGCAACAAAAGCCCAGTAGGAGATGAAAGGAGGGCATGCCAAAGCAGCCGACACCTCCTTCTTGAAACACAAACTTCTGAGAAGATTTCTTCTCTCGTGAGAACGGGAAGTTTTGCAGCATGTGCGTTCATGCAGCTCAGGTGAGGTCAGGCAGGTACGCGAGCCTGCGGCCAGCCCAAGACAGCCAATATCAGAGTTGGCAGATACCAACAGGATTGCCCTCAGGTTGGTGCTGTGTGTCCCTGCAGCCTGCTGTGCCGTCCTCTGGAGCAGAAACGCTCTTGGGTCACCTAATTCCTGGCGGGATCTCTCTCCCCCGAATGCCTGGCCAGGTTCTGCTCTGCTGAAGCTACCCAGGTCTCCAGCGAGCCCACGGCGTGGTGGAGGAAGCCACCCGGGGAGGCTCCAGGTGAAGTAACTCCTCTACTTGGGAAAAGGTGACTTGGCAAAACCAAACTGTTCTGGTAAAACCTACCAGCACCAGCAGAACTGAGAGAGTCCAGGCAGTGTCCTGGCCGGTTCACCCAACATCTCAGCAAGTTGTTGGGTGAGCTCAAGGAGCCAGAGCATGTCACCCAAACTGGGGCTTATCAGCACCAGAGGGTGACAGAGCAGTCATCCCGTCCTGAGTACGGGGCTGCCGCAGGAATTCAGGGACGTGCTCAGATATGAACCAACACAGAGTATTTTTCTTTCCCCAGCTAAGCTGCACAACTGTCTCTGCCTTTTCCAGATGTGCCACTATGGCTCCGGGCAACGCAGAGGAAATTCCTCCAACCTTCAAGAGCGTCAAATGAAAATATCCTTCAGACCTTCTCGGTGAACTCCTGAAATTCCTGTTTTGCAAGCAACTGGAACAGCTCCCTTTTTTTGTTAAGTTACTTCCCCGCTGGCTCTGTGTCTGGATCTACAGAGGCTCTATGAACCAACCAGCAAAGACCCGGCAGCGTTTTGACTTCATTAGCTGAAACCTCCGCCGGTACGCGAAGGTCAGACACAGGCTTTAGTGCGGGCGACGCCATCTTGTCTTACCTGCTTCTGGAGTCCGGGTTTGGTAGGCCCGCCAGTTGCTCCACAGTCCTCGCTCAGGGTGAATTTTACAGCTGGCCTGAAACTCGTAGGCTGTATGAGGCTCCAGGCCATAAAGACTGCACTTCTCACTGTTCGAGCTTTCAACCTTTAACGACGACAAGGGACGTATAATGTTAAACTCGGGAGGAAAGAAAGGTTGAATTACTTCTGCCCAAAGGAAGCCCAGCCAGCTAAAACAAGCCTTTAAAAAACAGTGGGGAAACCCTCCATCTGAGGCAACTCAAAGAATGATGCAACGAGTCATCGGGCTTGCAGTCCTTCATCAGAAAAATCCCTCCTTTAATTATGCAAAGATAACAAATTTTCTGTTCGCCTGCCTTACTCAACTTCAAGCAGGACACTTATTTTGCCACTTAAAATAAAAGCAAAGACTTCAAATCAACACTGGGGAAAGCACAAGTATTTGGAAGTTGCACGCCTGCAGCTGTGAGCTACAACGAGCAGATAGGACCGTATTTCAGTAAATGGTGGGTCAAATATAAGCTCAAATTCTTCAGTGCGTCATACAGACACTTGACATGAGGGGAACTATTCACGCCCGCGGTTTTTTTACAGGCTCGGTGTTTTACCTTAATTCAGTTTTAGACCAACGAGAGGTTTTGACCCCAACCATTGCAACAGTTTTTCATAAATACGGTGTCAGAGAGCAGAGAGAGGCAAATTTGGACAAACTGATTCTAGTAAGGAATAATGAAAAAATAATTAAAGCAACCTCCAAGGATCACAATTTCCTTTGCTCTTCAGAAGCGGATTACCGTGCTCCAGGTGTGCCTGGTAAGTGGACGGTATCTCAGCCTGCAGTGCTGCGCTTGTGCTTCATCGTGCCAAAAAAGGGTGCAATTGGTTGCAGAAGAATTTTCAAATTCCACTAAAAAGTTGGGAGGATGTGGTTTCACTAGCGGCAAAACAGAAACAAGCAAACAGCGCTTAGATACGCGGCACAGCTTGAAACGGGGAGGGGGTACATGGATGGGTGCTTTTTCTGAGAGGTTTAAACAAGAAAGGGCTCAAAACTTTTTCACTTCTTTCTAAAGGGCTGGGACTAACTGAAAGGCAATAAGTGACGCATTTACCTATGTCTACTAACATGAACACGAGCGGCTGCGAAAAAGCACTTCCTAGCTCATTGGAGGCGGCAACCACAACGGTGTAAGTAGAGTCAAAATTCAACTTGCTCAGAGCCAGCGAGCCAAACTTCTTATTCAGACTTTCTTCTGAAACACATAAGACATCCGTCCCGTTTGATAGCCTGGAACAGAAGGAAAACACTTGGTTAGTACTCTCCTGTACACCAAGAAAGCTAAATCCTGGCTGCGTCGGGGCACGGCTCACGTCCCTGTGCAGTTGTGCTGCTCTGTGTCCCTTGAGCCTGCAAGTATGTGAGTAGGTTCCTTTTAATTGTATAATAGTTACCTAATATTGGTTACCTAATATTTCTCTATGAATAAGCCTAGGTGTTGGCACACAGAATTTGGGGGGGGTGGGGGAGAGGGATTGGGGGGGTGGAGTTGTTTTTACATAAGTTAGTGATTAAAAATGTAATTTATCTGCAGTCTAGCAGTCAGACTGCATGACTTCAAACACAACTTTTAATTCTTAACCTGTCACTCAACCCATTGCCTTGAGTAACTCATTTCGGTTCTCTGCGTATTTTTTTCCACCTGAATCAGAGATGTTTATATCCTGTTGCTTCAGGCTGACCTCTTCTATTTTGTAATATACTTAATAACTTACTAGAAAGCACTGCTGTATCTCTGCAGACCTTTACAACACTTGCAGGACTCGTTATCCACACTTCCCGGCTCTTCCGCATGTTACATGTATGCTTAAAGAGCAGCGACGGATTTCTGCAAGCTACTGAGAAAGCTGCTGCTACCTTGGCCCACAGAAGCGGGTGAAGAAGAAGATGATAGTGAAGAAGAAAGGAAAAGGTGAAGAAGAAGAAGGTGAGGAAGAGTGAGCCTCGCAGGTCAACACGCAGCACCTTGGAAACAAATGGGGACTAGCTCACCCTACCCAGTAGGGTATGACTTCATTGATGACTTCATTCTACCTACATGTTTGCTTGAATAGGAGTTTTTCATAAGGTTCTTCCTGTGCACAGCGATTCCCGAAATCCAAGTCTCCTAATGCACCTTGACGGATGCGTAGACCTCTAGGCTCTACTAACCTCCCCTTTCCAAAAGAGAGGCACGTCTTGGCATACCCTCTTTACCTGCCGAACCCAGCGGCAGCCGACCTACCGCGGCGCAGCGCACACAGGCGTGAACAGAAAAGGCCTTTTAGCTGCTACAGTTGGCTTCTGCGATCATGGCAGCCTTGGATTGACTTATTCATAAACCAACTCTTCCCTGTGCTAAGGGTAAATCTTCAATAAACGGTGTAAAAAAAGAAAAAAAACCCACCTCGAAGATACAATTATAAGTATTGGCATTGAAGGTATTAAACTTTAGGTATTAAAGAACCTACGTCCCTGCGTTACTTACTGTATTACGTACGTAGTGTCGATGTACGTGAGCCTTCCTTTATCCCAGGTGCAGGTGGGATGGCCGTCTGTCCCGTACTGGAGACACGACACGTTTCTTGGCTCATCTGGGGGATCTTAAACAGATATTCTTATCAGAGCCTTCCTTAAAGATGTTGATAGGAGACGTTTTACGAAATGCTAGGCTTCGTGTTAATTTTTAAAAAAAAAGAGTTTATGGACATGTTAGTGCAAAATATTCAGGCCGATAATTTTTACATGTGAAAAGGGCTGAGTCTATGATCTCCGCAGCCTGTTGAGACCTCTGACACTTGACTTCACAAGCGTGCCAGATGAATACAAGCGTGTAACAGCTCTCCGGACTGGGCACCACGAGCTTTGCTCGAAGAAATCAGCCACTTTTGAAAAATTGGGGTTTTTTTCAAAAACGCAGCACCGATACAGCAGACGACTGCTGCAGCAGCCTCGGCTCATCAGGCTAGAAGAAGATCTGAAATTCCCTTAGAATTTTTCTCGTAAGTCCCCTGCGTCCTGGAGAGGCTGGGGGGTGGCAGGGGTAGGACAGAAGGGAGTCCGATATTTGCTCTGAGCAGGCAGATTTATTTAGCATCTCTCTGTTTACGAATAGGAGAGTTGCACAGTTCCAACTGGGAATATTTTGAATACAAAGAGCCACAAAAAGACACCGCCTTTTCTGGAAAAGGCCCCCCACTGCTGGTTTCTACCGCGTGCCTCAGAGGTACCACCGGAAGCGTTTAAGAACAAGGAACAACGAAATTCTCCTTACTTCCAGATTCTATATCGATCCCACAAACGAGTTTTCTCTTGTAGCCACAGACTATTTTGCAGGTAAACATGTGTTTGCCGTACGTATGGACTAGAAACTCGGTGCTTACTGCACTGCCGTAATTGCTAATTAGTTCGGAGCTGTTAATGAAAAGCGCTAGCCTGCAGGGCTCGGCGTGCCGCAGGGGTCCCAGCTGGCAGGAGAGGGTGATGCGGGCTCCCGGCATCACCGGAGAGGCGGCGTTAGCCGTCACATTCCCTTTGTCACATATTTCCGCGGCGCCACGGGGAGGGTTGCTGGCAGGCACGGTCCCTGCGCTGCACGCTTCTGCAACGGAACGGGAAAGAAGCCTTTAACGCGGATGCAGCCCTCACCGCGCACGGCACGCGGCGCCCGGGGAAGAGAGGATCCCCAAATTTATCGTGCGCGAGTTCCTGCCCCCGCGAGGTCACTGGGGGCATGAGGCTGTGCCCAGTCTTCACCCATCTGACGAACCGGGGGTCGGAAACCCAGGGCTAGCCGCCAGACACGGTGCGAAAAAGCACAACCCCAGGCAAAACCCGTCAGCCAGGTCTCTTCTTTTCATGGCGGCTTGAGGAAATACCGGCGTTTCAGTAGAGCGGTGGCAGGCACGTCTCCGCTGAGGAGACCAGCGACGTTTTCCCCGGCTCGCAGAGACCTCCCCCGGCATGTTGTAGTCTTTTCCAAGCGGCACAGGGCGCAGACGGGCGGTCCCGCGCCCAGTGGGCGCGAGCACGCGCTTGCTGGCGGGCTCCAGGGCGCTTACTCTGCAGGCAAACGAGCGAGCAGCGGCAGAAGAGAAGGGAAAATGATGGAGCACCATTTCTCCCTCCTTTCGAGCTCCGACGGTCCCTGTGGAAGTTCACTGCGGAGGTGTTTTCTCACGTAGCCGACAGCTCTACCTCGAACCAAACCAAACGACCTCCCCGCATAACCGACCCGCCGCTGTTCGCTACGCGCTGCCGTCAATGCACGAACGGCGCAGGCTCGGGGGGCTGATTATGCACAAATGCACAAAGGGATTTGCCTCTTCTGCTGAGAGCCGAGGCTGCAGCCCTGCCCGCAGCCTGCCCAGACCGCCACGGGCACCGGGCTTTGCCGTGGAGAGCGGGGGGACACGCAGCAGTAGCAGCAGGTCAGGGAGTTCTTACAGAAATGACAGTATAAACCTCATCAAGCATCGAGTTTTGCTCTCCCTAATAAGAAAGATGTTTGCTAGCACACCACACAGAAGCTAAAAACCAAAACTAATCTGAGCAAGAGCGCAAGGAGCAAGCTCAAAGCAGGAAAAAATATAGCTAAAAAAACACCTAATTAGCCTGAGTGCCTCTTTTAAGTGATAATTGCTACGCAGGGAAAAAAAAAAATCTTACCTGCTGTGAAGTGCACCAACCACCAGATCGCTGGGGGAAGAATCCGTGCAAATAACATTTTGCTCCCTATAGAGAAATGAATACCTTTTACCTGTGCCTAAAAAGCGGGAAAATAATTTTCAGATATTAGTATTTTACAACTTCAGAAAAACAAAAATGCTTCTTTCCTTTCTAATTAGCATCCTCTGCCAGTGTTGCTAAGGTGTGACCCCCGAGACCCTACCCGAAGCAGCAGCTGATTTTTAGACGGTTCTCCCTAGAGACAGGCACACGAGCGAGGGCGATGGCAGAGTTCAGGGTACATTAAAACTCTGTGCTTTAAAACCAGACAACTCTGTGCTTTAAAAAGAGACATATTTGCTCCCTTCCTTCCCAAAGGCTCCCTGCAAGCCCAGAACCAAAAATCTTACCGTGAAGGACAAGAAGAACGACCCGTCAGTACCCCTCATGCTATTTCTCCTCAAGACACGGTTTGCACACCACGGTTTGCACACCACGCCATGCACAGCCCACACCCTCCCGAAATCCTGGACCCTCTTTCGGATGGAGCAGCCCCGTTTACGTACCCCACAAGGGCCCTGGGGTGCTCTTCAGCAGGTCTGGGCTCAGCCTTCGTACAGATCACCCCGAATCCGAGTGAATTGATCTCACCCCAGATGACTAACACAGTCTCAAGATTCTCAAACCTGAGTATAACTCATAAAATTTTGGATAAGACCTTGGGAACCGGCGATCTTACAACTTCTTTAGTCGGCTTTCCAAAAGGAAAGCCCTCACGCACAGCTTATTTATGACTATTTAACGCGACCCTGAGGGACAGGGCTGCAGACGCACGCAGTAAGCACGCTGGTAACGACACAACCAAAAAAACCCAGCGTTTTGAAACATTTTAATCTCCACAGGATTGCTCAAAAATTCTGTCCAAGGGCAAACCTATGCCATGCCTAGGCTTCCTAGATAAGACCCACACTCCAGTACTGGAAGTTATGAACACAAATGTTTTACACCAATTATTCAAGGTCAGCCTGAACCGAGCTCAATATTTTCCCGTACGTTTTGCGACCAGCATTAACAGCTATTTCCTTTTTTACTCTTCCCCTGCAGAACTACAGGAGCAGTGAGAATATAATCGATACTTCAGAAGTGAATACACCAGCAAGCACTTTCTATAACTCCCGACCTGCCGCAGAGCTGCAGCTGTTTTTATTACTTGCTGCCATACTGGAAACAAACTACTGTAAGGTGAAATTTTAAATCCTGACTGCTTTTCATGCCATCTTGGATGGTGGGGCACTTCCATGGGGATGCATTGCACAATATAGTCTTTGCTACATGTCTATTACTATAAAAAAGACTGAAAAAGTTATTTCAGGTTATTTTTATATAATGAGATGGGATCCACTCCATGTTTTTTAGGTGAACCGATACCTGAGGTGAATGTGAAATACATAAGAGTTGCCAAAACGCATATTAACACCTTGTTTGATTTAAATCCAAGTGTTCTTCAGACTGAAATGTTAAGCCTTGCTGCAGTGCCTCAGCTTTACACAAAGGCACTTCATGTGGTGCCTTCCGTCGGTGATTAGTAACTGCAAGGATGAGCAATCGCAGCACCAAGGTTCTTCAAGTAAATGCTCTGCCTTCCAATAAACTGAAATTTCCCGGTGACTGTGTAAACATCCTTCAGACAGCTTGCTTTCTGACAGCAAAACTGTACCCAAAATATTAGAGTCAACAGACAAAACCAGTCTCGCTTCAAATAATCTTAACCAGTGGTTTGCTTAGGTAAGTGCTAGACAATTTATGCAGCATCGTATGAGTGCAGCAGGGCGTATAAACCCTGATCAGAGTAAAATATGAGAAAAGAACGAGAAATAACCTTCAACTTAGAGGAAAGATACATGGAAAAACATTTTTTTAAGAAGAAAAAAATCTCCAGATTCCGCATCAGTGAGGGAAAATAGTACCGCTGTGCATAGGTTAAAGAAAATACAAAGGACATCGTCATGGCAAGTGCAAGGTAGAGGAAGTTCATAAGGTGTTCGGAGTACGAGATCGTGCCTGTTTATGCATACTTATCTCTACGAAATCTCAATTGCAAACACAAGGGCTAAAGACCGTACATTTTGTTTACCTATGGATTTGCTATAACGCCATCGGCTGTTTACAGCAGTCAACTCAGGGTCTTAAATTAAATCACTTGTAAAGTACAAAAGCTCTCCAGTTTGCTTTTAACCAACTTTTTATGCCCTTGCTCCCACTTCTCCCTAAAAAAGCTCCACGCAAAGCAGGTGTCTGTTCTAAGGGTCTTACACAGCACCTGCAGGAACGACCGGCGCCGGCGGAAAGCGGAACATTTCTCACCGATGCGTGAGAATTGTTTTTCACCCAGGCAAAAAACGCTATTTGTACCCAAACTGTGCCGTTGCTTACATACTGCTGCATTTTTAGGGAAACTTCCCACTGGCAGCAGGCTCGCGGGTGCCTCTCCGGCTGCGCC